CACAGGCTTGATGCAGTTACTGCAAGCAAAGGATACACTAAATATTAAAGGTTATTTAATTTAACGCTACTGTTCCTATACTTTTGCTCATCTAAAAATTGGGTGGTTTAATACAAAAGGTGCTATGTTCTTTATTGTTTAACACATATACGTAAATGTAAAATACCAAGAAATAAAAACAGACATTCTGAACATTTATCACAAATTCATCTTTTGACCACAGACCCAAATGACTTGTACAGCAGAAACAAATGGACTGGCCTTGCTGTCCCAATACTTTTTGGGGGATGGGGGGGCTGTATGAATATGCATGAAATGCTTCAATTTAGCAATATAACTGTTACTCCTACAGGCTTCATTACATTAAAGATAAACAATAATGACTTAGATGCAGATGGCCAAGATCCCATAAACAGGTTGTTAATATCCCAATCAGTATGTATGTGTCTGACAGGCCTGTCTGGGCAAAAACCAAGAGCCGATTTTTAATCCCAGTGACAAGCATAACACCATTAAGCACAGCAAAAAGGTGCATAATCTCCACACAAATTGAGAGAACAATGAGAATCAGCTAAATTACTCCTTGGATTTTCAAATAATGCCATATTATGAATGTTTCACTGTTGTTCACTATTTTTGCATGATTTTCAAAAAAAATTTAAAAAAATTTCAACAGGACACATGAGGGTGTAAATATATAATGACATTTGGTCAATGACAGATCGCATGGAAATCAGTTGCCCCATAATATTATAATACTTGATAATGATGTTATTGGTTTATGTATTTACCATACAGTACTTCTTCATTATTTTAGTGTACTCTTTCTACTTACAATTATGTTTACTAAAATATGCTGTGTTACACAGTGTGTAGGTACACTCTGTGATGTTCGCACAATGAGGAAATCACATTTCTCAGAATGTATCCCTGTTGATAAGCAATGTATCACTGTGTTTTATATCCTGTTTCATAATGTGTATCACCCCCCCAGCCGGACAGAGGCTGCAGGCCAGTACAGAGCAGCGTATCGCCCCCCAGCCGGACAGAGGCTGCAGGCCAGTACAGTGCAGCGTATCGCCCCCCAGCCAGAGAGAGGCTGCCCTTGCTTGTTTGGGTGAATCAGAGGTAGCGGTATGAGCTGACCTTCAGTGTGGCTGTCTGCAAAAACGTAGCACACAGACCTGAATGAAATCTCTGCATGCGGCTGCCCTGAACAGCTCACTTCCTCGGTTACAAACAGAATCCTAACTTTAAAAAAAAAAAACAAAAAAAACAGCTATGTCCCTCCAGAGGCCTTCAGTCTGGGCCTGTTGTCAGGCGTGTGCAGGACACCTATGGCCAGAGAGGTGGGGGTCCTCCCTGAATAGGACCTTTGTTATCCAGATTATGTATTTATGCCACCACCTGTGAAAGCTTAAAAGACAACCCTGAAGCCGAATAACATTTTATAAGATATTTACCTTGCTGAATCTACCTTTTATGGCAACATAAGCGCATGGTTTGCAGATGTGTTCCGATTGGCACCTGGACAACAAATCTTCCTTTAATGGAAGAGGAGGTTGGCTACAGAGCAGTGTGAGTTGGTACAGTGCAATGACTAGACACTGCATTCACAGGGACAAAGATCTTTTTCAGGGAGGTCCAAGACTCCATAAAAATATAAACCTAAATTAAAATTCATCATATTCTTCTATGAGATCCTAAATCATAACCTTATGAATTTTCAGTGCATTAAATAAACATGTTTGGAGCCAGCTGACAATGTCGTCATGCTGTATGTTCACGTCGTACTTTAAGTCTGCCGCTATCAGGAATTCTTCAGGTCCTCCCGCTTCCTCCCATTACCAAAAACAATGCTGCTCAGGGTTATTCTGCTAATAACAAAGTAGAGAGTGCATCCATCAGCGTCCTGCAGTGGACCCGCTCAGGCTCCACCAACTGCCGTGCTCCTCGGGACGGGTGCCGAATCTTGCTGACCACAACAGGATGAGCAAAAACCTGAAAACGGATACATCAGGCACTTCTCCTGGCACAGATCACGCTCGCACAACGGCAGCTTGGTGTGGCTCATCATTCATCAGGAAGGAACAGAGTTTTGTTTGAAAGCGCCACAGAGCTCATGATGGTGCAGTTTCTGCCGTCATATGCTTGCATGGGTCTGAGTCAGTGGGCAGGGAAAAGTCCTCAGCCATAAGGCTCAGTATTTTAAGATCCTTAATAAACAGCTAAACGTTTTATTCTTGCCAGAGTCACACTTTGGATAATTACTTTAGCTTTCAAAATTACTAAAAGAAGAGAATATTTTTAACTTCTATGAAAGATGCCTTAATATACTTGCAGTAATAACCAGGCCTGTCATTGGAAGAACACAGTAATCTCTGAATAATTACGCATCCTTTACAATCCATTTAACACATTTAAAAAAAAGCCATTACATGAGAGGATGGGATTAGAGTACTTGGAATTTCACTCAATTTGCTATGCATATTAAGCACAAAGATAACGGGGGGGGGGGGGAGTTTTATATGCAGCAATTCTGCACATTTGTAGTTGTGCCAAAGAGGATCCTGCATTTTTACCTTTTAACCAAGATCCAAATCCTTTGTATGCTTATAAATCTAAACTTCATTAACTGTGATAATTTTATAATTTTGGTTGCAAAAGACAACCAAACAGGTGCATTAAGTATACAATATGTAGTCAGGACTTGCAATATATTTACAAAGGAAGGAAAAGTTAGAAAGGCATATTCATACTTGATTGTTGACAAGTATTAAATTTTATACTATTAAGTTTCATTTTAGGTTTAATTTTTTTGGTTAAAACAAAACTCTCTCCATAAACACCAATACTGTTAACCATAGGACTCGCATAATGAGTGTGTCTACAGCATAATCAAGCCAACGGGGAACTTCTTCACTGCTATATCCTGCAGAGAAGCATTTTTCAGCTCAAATGATAAATGTTCCTTAATCGTCAAAGAAACAAAACAGTTTTCTGCTGTTCTGCCAAATGCCTTGCCTCAAGCTCTTGCATTTGTACAGTATAAATGAATGTTTTTTTCAGACAAAAATAAACAGCAAAAATAGTACAGAACAAGGCTGTGAACAAAGGGCTAAAGTGGAACCTTGAATATGTATTCAATCCAAATTTGTCTGCTGTATATATTTAGTACTGTTTTGAGGACACCTGTATGAAACCATAATCGACTATACTGTAAATTGTATACACTTGTCTGTTAAGAAGGGTGGCAGTTAAAATTAAAACTATACGGGTCCAGCCAGCATGAGTTCATGAGGTCTGCAGTGGTCATGGTCTGGGATTGGTTTGTTCATGACAGAGTTGGTGATCTTCACCAAACCCATGGCAACCTAACCAGCATGGCTATCACAGCGAACTTCAAAGGCATCCCATTCCATCAAGATCATGGCTAATTCATTGTTCAGCGAGATAAGGATCCAAAACAACCCCCAGCATTGTGCAAGAAGCACAAGAAGAATAAGGAAATACAAAGAACTTGTATTTGAAGGGAGAGACAGACAGCAGAGCCGTGAAGAGATATTGGGTGATTTCCTACTGAAGTTTTGCTGAATCCCAAAGCCTTGCATCAAAGCAGATGATGGGTATTTTGGGAAATCTAATTTAGAGACAAGTGTTGATTTCCTTGAGCACTGCTTTGGTACTCTGGTTTTATTTTATATACTGTAATAGGCATTTGAAATGCATCTTTTCATTTACACTTAATCAACATAACCAGTTTAGTAAGGGGTTGTAGAAATGGGCTCAAACCAATGATACACAATATGCATTGAACGCAAACCATCTCAGCCAACAAAATAGTATTGTGGGTTTTAAAAAAAACATGCTGAAATGGCTCATTTTCAAGAAGAGTCCCTGCTGTTGTACCATATAAATGGGTGACATTAAGTAAAACAATTTAAGAAAACAATCAGTATAAGGGGAGCAGGAAAGAAGAATAGAGCCAGCACACAGAGACACAGCTGCCGAAGAGCGAGCAGAAAGAGGCCAGTGGACAGCAGTCTCTTTCAGCCATGTTTATGCTCTGGCTGACATGTTGAATACGGCATATAGAAAAGCAGCTTTACAGAGGAAACAATGGCCTACATTATCATAACATGTACTGCAGATGTGTTATAAAACACAGTGGGTAGTGTCAACGTGGTCATCTTCAGCGTTTTCTCTAGAGACAAACATCCATCAGTTTTCAGAAACCTCATCCAATCCTGGCAAACACTGGGATGGCACATTAACTCTGCCTGTGCCATGCCACTCTATACGGCTCATTCCTATGTACAGCAAAAAATAAAAATACAGTATTAATGGTTGGGATGTTTGAGGACCATGTAAAAATACAGTTTAAAATTGTGGAAATTCAGACACCAGTGGTCAAAAAGAACAATTTGTGACAGACAGACAGACAGACAGACAGATAGATAGACAGACAGATAGATTATAAACCTCAAGGTCAGAGAAACCACATTATGGGACTTGTTAAAGGTGAATAATGTTTTACATACCAATGCTGCTTTGTGAGGAACTGCTTACCAACCTCCATCCAAAAAGCAGACTGCCCTTGCTTTAGCCAATGACGAGTTTAAAAAATAAATAAAATAACTGGTGTTTAGCATTTCACACTTGTTGGTTTGCACATTCCACTGTGGAAAAACCAAGACATCCACTGGAAATATAATTTCATTTTTGCTCATGTCAACTAGCATTTGTAAAGTTAGACCAAAGGGTTTCAGACAGGCTGGAAAAATGGAAGTCCATCCCTGTGCAACCAATGCTGGAAATGACAGAAATTTGGTTAAATATAAATGAAAGTACTTGTGATAAAAGTCATTTAATGTAGTTGGAATTGTCTTAAAATAAAACCGTGTTCCCAAGTACCTCTAATGTTCTCCATAAGACTCACATGATTACGCTGTACCTACAGCAGACGGAAGGCAAAAGGGCAGCTCGACAACAAAAGGCTGTTTCCTGTAGAGATGCATTTTAATCTTAAATATTCCTTAATCTTCTAAAACAGAACAAAAACAAAACAAATGTTGTACTTACTGCAAAACATCTGACCTTAATAAGTTAAAGCATTTGTACTGTACAAACTGAAGGCAAATTCTTTCAGACACAAATTAGTAAAAAGCAAAAATAAAACAAAATATTTTTATTACGAAACAAAGAGATGAACACATTTTGCTTTGTATATTAGGATTCTGGTGATTTCATTCACTGATTTGTATCTGCAAACAAACATCTTTTGTCACTGAATATTTATATACTTCATAGAACAAATCAGAGCACAAGCACAACAAAACAAAACAAAAAGCCAAACCAAACGGTACAGGAGGGGTGCAGAAATTTAATAATATAATGAAAGCAGGATCATAAGCTCTGTTAACAAAAAAAAAAAGTGTAAGACTTACTCAACAAACCTGTTGTACTTGTGAAATGCAGTCCAGAGCTCAAATGGGTTTAATGGCCTGAGGCTGAAACCTGGAGCACAATTCCCTCCCCCCGTCCCAGGCACCGTGAGGCCTGCCCCACAAGGACTTCACCCGCAGTCCTGGTGCCATGTCTTATTTCTGATCTGGTATCACTACATCATCAGCTGAAATTTCTCACTTTTCATGCTCTTTTGTCTGGCTGAGGCCAGCTGAACCACCCCCCCCTCCCCCCAGACACCTCACCTGCCTCAGGGGGCGTTAGGCAAAACGTCCCACTCCAGACACACCACTCAGGTTCTCACTTCACTCCCCCCCCCCCCAATCTGAGCCTGCTGGTGGCTCCTGCTGTATTACGGATGGGAGGAGACGGGAGATGGGAACCTTCTACCGCTCCCTGGAACCCTCCATACCCACCATTGCAGACAGGTATGTTTCCACCACTCCAAAAAAAGGGCAGGGCGGTGGGAGGGCGTGGCACTCAGTCGGTAGGGTCCCGTGCTTCTGTGGATCCACTGGGGATTCCGAGTTTGAAAAGCTCAAAGAGAACAGAGAATAAACGCAAACATCAATAATAATAAAAGATTAAGATTGATGGGAATGGGCCGGCTGGCTGGGATCACTGAAACAGCCCCACTACGCTGTGGGGTTTCTGCCCAGCTGCAGCTGGCCACCTCCGCCGCCCCTCTGCCCCCACCCGCCCCCACCAGCATCGCAATGGACATGGGACGTGAGCGAAGGGAGGCGAGGACAAAGTGCGGCATGGCGCCCCCTCTGTTTGGGTTCAGGATTGATTCCTTGGAAACAGAAGTCATCGTCATAACGATCCACGTGTCCATCCCACAATGCATCTTGCTTTGATGGCATGGTTCTAAGCCCAAAACAGACAAAGCAGCCTGGGAGGGTGGGGGGGGAGGTCAGCCTGGCAGACAGACCTTCCCTGCGAAGAGCAGTCCCACTATCGTAAAAAAGATGGACAGGACGAAGAGGACGTAGGACGAGCCGACCACTGTGTTGTTGGGCAGCTTGTAGGGCTGTCCTCCGACCTCATTGATGTAAAATCCTATGGGGAAGATGAGGGCCGCCATGCAGAATAGGATCACTGCGGGGGAAGAAGAAGGAGGGAAAAAAATTCAACAAACACACAGTTAACATTGCCAGCTTATTTATAGAAGCAGAACCATTTGTTCTGCTAACAGAATTAGGATGCCATTATCACCTAGACAAGAAAAATTGAATGCTAACAGAATGGCCATTCAGCACAGGTAAGAGGGAAAACTCAATTTTCTGAGGCATGATTACAGAGCCACAAATAATATGACAGGCTGAGAGCCTTTTGCTCTGGATGTGCATTATAATCTGTGGTATATTCTCTTATACTGCAAGTGTTCACACCATCAAACTGCATTTGCAAAAGCATAGGCTTGAAAGCTGAAATACTGCTGCAATATATGAGTCTATTATCATAGAAAAATAAATACTGTATATTTCTAAAAAAAGAACCTCCCAGATCTGGGTATACCTGACAGTTCTGAGCAAACTCTAACCATTTCAAAACTGCAGACAGAACAGCACAAACATATGGCCAAATTTAAACCACTGGCAAAAATGCATAAAGCTTTAGGTAGTATTATTATACTTCATATTAATGTTTATTTTAAGACAATATTCATGCAGGGGTCAGCTCTGGATAGGGATGCAATGATACACAACTCATGATTCGATTCACGATTCTGAGTTCACGATACAATTTTCTCACGATTTTTTTTTTTTTTTAACAGAATGAGCTGCAGACAAATTCAAAAATATTCCTTTATCTTTCTAAACTGTGCAAAACTGTGTCCTCTTCTTAACAGTGCAACTGAAATTGAATAAAATCCCAAATCAAAATAAAATCTTCAAATAAACAAACGGGAACGCTTTACATTAACTGCACCTTCATAATGTTTTTATATTGCATTCATAAAACATTCAGTACACCTTCATAATGTATTCATTTATTCAGAAATCATTCATAAACATCATGCATGTATACCTTTACAACCTAACATCCTTTAACAGCTATAATATACATTAATAACAAACACTATATAATAACAAACATTATAATTATATAATCATGTAATGTTTGTTATTAATGTATATTAAAGCTGTTAAGGGATGTTAGGATGTGTACTTGAATGCTGCTTATGAATGTTCTATGAATGCATTATGAAGGTGCACTTAATATAAAGCCTTACCAAATAAACTAAGGCGTGCATGTGCAGCTTTTTAGCGTGGTTTGCCCTTTTAATAATCTCCGCTCTGGCGCTGGTGAATTGAGCTCACTGTGGTGCCGGTGGACATGCTGAAGCATGTTCCTTGTGCTATTTGTGTTTGTTATCAGTCTTTTACAATGCTTGCACGCAGTTTTTGTCTTGTCTGTGCTTTTCTCGTTTATGATTACCGGAAAGCTAAAATGCTGCTACACCGCCGATTTAAGACTGGGTGGTTCGTCCTCAACATAAAATTCGCTCCATATCTCACGTTTGGTCAAAACCAAAAACTAACGTACGACGTCGACGTGAAATCTGTCAGTGACATCTGACATCAAACTGACATCGTGAAATCAAATGTAATATTACACCAGTTTTTCTGTTAAGTAAAGTACCGTGAAGTACTCCTAAAGTAGCTATTCATTTTCCACATCAGCCGGTTTAAATCGCCATACCTTTTCATCGATTTTTAACGGATTCGCGATTCATCGTTACATGCCTAGCTCTGGATTAACACAAAAACAAGTACATATATTTTCTAACGATCACTGTGAAAGTTATTTTTAACCATTAATGGAAGCAGTACTATTGTCAAAATACTGAATTTTACTATACTAGTATAAAAGAGTGTGTGAGTAGCCTAAATATTCACAAATGTATTGTCAGCATCATTTCTGTGTGTATGTGCGTGTGTGTTTGAGTACTACATTGTGGGACCACACCTTGTAGTAAAACATGACACTACTGACACTGACTGACATTTCTTCAGTCCGCAGAAGGGAAATCTGCGAATGCAATAAAAAACTAAAAATACTTAAAGTCTTAAAGTATTATTATTTTTTTGTTTACTTATGGTTAAGGTTAGTGCTGGGTTGGGGTTAAGGTTATCATAGTTAGTTAGGGTTATGCCTGTAGAAATGAATGATGGGTCCCCACAAAGATAGCTGTGTGTGTGTGTTTTAACAGATCACAAGTCAACAGCCACTTTTCCGGTTTGTCGGCTGCTTATGGATACAGGCCCGTAACAATAACGGAGAAGGTCACTGAGCCACACTGAGGAGTATCTGATATCGGATGTACTTTTCAAACCAAGAGCAGAAACCCATCAGGATAAAACAAAGGATTATCATTTTTCTGCACCACAAGCAGGCTGACTTAGAACTGGCATTTTTAATCTGCTGTGTTGTAATTCTTTTGTTAAACCACTATTTCAGAATAAGACTGTGTTAAATAGTCGGTAAATTTACATAGGCGATAACATGAAGTATAATCCTGTGATGGACTGGCATCCCATCCAGGGTGACCCCTGCCTTGGGCCCTTGGACAGGCTACAGACCCAGCATGACCCTGAACTGGATAAGTGATTATGGAAGATGCATTAATGCATATTGCATGACATATTATTTTGTTCTACATTCCTGAGCACGTAAACTTTGTGACCTCCTTCCCACATACATGAATGGTGGTTCCTCTGTCCCTTTAATGTCTACATCTATTACTCTTACGCTTTAATCTGGGCAGGGATGTTTGCCTTTACGGTGACAGAACAAGCCCACATAAATCACAGAGATACAGAGTGTTCATGCCACCCAAGGATGTGAAACTCAGGAAGGGAAAAATAAAAACGGACGGCACAGATCCCCATGTGTGTGCGGTTGCCGCGCACTGCTGATATTTCAGAAGGCCTCCTTCCACCAAAGAGGCTTCTGAAATCTGAGGCCGGTGTCTCTGACTCCGCCTTCCTGCCTCAGCGGGCTAGTCTTGCAAAGGCTTTGCTGGGAGACTGTCAGTCGCTCGCCTATTTACAGCCACCACTGAAAATACTGCGGGCCCAGGCTTGTTTTCGGTACTGAAAATATCACACAGGGGGAAAAAAAACATATATTATATATATGCGCTACAGAATAAACAGCGACCGTGTTGCTAAATGTGGGAAATGGAGATGGGAGGGGCTTACGCCTACGAGCACTGACACCACTGTAATTAAACAGGAGCCTTACAGGGCAGCAGATTCAAAGACATGCTACCAGGCTCCACGTTGTATCTGTGCAGTAATGTGGGATCCATGGTTTCCACGTGGACCCCCAACTCAGAAAGAGCAGATCGGGGCCCTCTATCTCATTCAGGCTATGCAGCACAGACGCTAATACTCTGGGGACTCCCCCTTTGTGCTGCGCAACCTTTCCGCAGCGACCCCCCCCCCTGGGGGTTTGTCCGTCACCGCACCGGGTCTCCCGTGACCATTTAGGAAAGGCAGTCTAGCAATGTGCCATGTGTTTTCACACTGAGCCAGCTTGAATAATAATCAGACGGCACTGGGAAGCAATGTAACAGCATCTTCTGCATCAAATCCAAAAGTGGGACTCGGTTGCGATTTCCATCCATCCATCTTTCATTGTATGTCTCCAGTTCAGGAACAAGGTGAATGCTGTTCTGAGAAGAGCAGGAGAAAAAGGCCGGGGACAAATGGTGCATATGCAAACCACTGGCAATTTAGAGTCATCGATTTGCCAAACTGTATATTTATGAAGAGCAGGAGGAAGGTAATGCAAACACAGGGAAAATACACAGTCTGTACAGAGACCAGGGGACAGAAATGAAAGGCACAATCCTAGAAGTATGAGGCCACAGTGTTAACTACTCACCTATGGTGCTATTTTATAAGGGATGCACTGATACTGATGCACGGTATCAGTCCCGATACCAATACTAGTATCATCCTCATGAAAATGTGGCGAAGCCTACGACCGATACCATCTAATGATGTATCAGTGATTTCATTATCGATACAAAATAAACGGGATTTTGTCTGCGGTGCAGAAGTATTTCGGAAACCCAAAGCATAACACTGCAAACTGTGCTGTACTAAACTATCAAGAGGAGGTACGGAAACAGATCTATATATCACTAGTAATCTAATTAAACATAAGAAAGACGACAACAAAATTGCCTCCAGCAGCACTCTGCAACAAATCAACATTAGCAGGTAGAGATAACCCTCGTGCAGTGAAAATAACAGTAGTTCTTACCCAGTCTACTGCTCTTGACAGCCAAGCATAATGTCATAATGGTGATACAAGGACAGCATAATACCTTCTGAGATGGTACGCAGTTTAAAAAGTGAATCACTGCTTCAGACGCAGTTAGACTGCCCATGATCATAATGAAATCCAGCCCACTGCCAGGTCTGCAGGTTTTAATGCCTGCAGTTCATCACATTATAAGTATCTTTTTTTCATGCCTTCACATTTTTTTGGCTAAAAATAATAAAGTGCCTTGTTTGTGTGCGTATGTGTGGGGGGGTTACTTTTATATTATCCTTTGTCACGATATTTATTTATTTATTTTATATAGAAATCACTCAGCCCTAATTGGTATCAGTGAGGTACTTGATCTGAAAAAACAGGTATTGTGCATCTCTACATCTTATGCCACCAAGTTGTTATGTTTTTATCCACCCATCCTCTACTTATCCAAGAACAGGTCTGGCTGATCCTGAATCCTGTCCCAGGCAACACAGGACACATGGCAGAAGACACACGGGATGGGATCACAGAGCTCTCACACACACTCACAGTATCTATACCTTAGTGGGGACTCTCCATTCATTTCTGTGGGCATAACCTAAACGGCTACCCAGCCTGAACCTTAACCATAAATATAAAATAAAAAAAAAAAACAAAATACAAAATGTTTCAGCATTTTTAATTTTTTTGATTTAATATACATGACCACACACACACACACACACACACACACACACTGGACATTACTGTTACCTTTTTAAAATGCACACATACCCAGAGTGTTGAGATAAAGCAGTGATGCAGAAAATCAGCAGCACAGCGTGTTAGGTTTGTATAAGAGTACTTCTCAAATTATTCTAATTATTCATTGTGTTGGACCTGCAATTTCAGGGAAACTGAAGACATTCCAGTGAAATTTAATTAGCAAGCTGAGACTAGCCATGTTCACAATCATTTGGTAATAATTAGCATTTCCACTTTCATAGTTTGTCAAAAGCTCACAGCTGTCGAGAAAAACAGAAGAACGTAGAACACCTGGAAATGAAAACTTGCAGGTGGTTGAAAACTACAAACCTACACCCCAAAGACACACTGCACACAGGGTCAACAATAAATGTGCTACAAGAAATTTTACTTGAAAAACTCCTGTTAGAGTTGAGTGGTCAGGATTAACTGTCGACAGGGTATGCAGAAAATGTATTCTGGAAACATTAAAAGTAGCAAAACCAAAATGTAAAATATTTTAAACATACAAATATTGTTTTACAATCGTGTACTCAAGTGTCAAACTTGATCTAGGGCTGGATTCGTGGCAATAACCTTAAAAGAATATTTTTAATGTGTCAGCTGCATTAGGAAGATCTGTCAAAGACACCTAATTCTGCAGGCTGGTGACACATCCGTACTGGCAGCAATAAAAGGAGCCTTTAAAAATGTCGGGCCGCAATTTGCCAAAACGGCATGTCCAAAACACACACCTGACCCGGAGCTACACTGATCAGCACAGCCGGCCAAGGTGGTCCTGGCCAGCCCGACAGAGGCGGGCCCTCCTCGCTCCGGCAGCGGGCATGCCATGGGGCGCCGGCCGCAGGAACCCCATTGGTCGGGACTGGCCCTCAGTGGGAAGTACAAAACAAAGGCGCTCTTTCATTGGACTCTCCCACCTCGAGTCAGAGCCCTGGAGTCCATTAAAAAGTCACCTTAGAGAGACGCACGTGGGTGCAGGAGAGCCGTGAACGGGCGGCCTTGTGAGCGACCGCAGACGGGCCAGGCGGAGTGGCTGCTGCTTGTTTATTCCTCAGTTTACAAGGAGTTTTCTGTCCGCCATGTTTATTTCATCTCTCAAAGTCTGAGACGGTAAAGGATGATCTAAGGTTAAAACCGGCTGGCTAATGGCAGAGAGATACCCACAGGAAAAAAGAAAAGAATAAAAAACTTATTTATACCTTATAACAATTTTTCCACCCCAGACAGACACAGAAATGGTTTTCCGAGGGGGGGGGGAGACAAGCAGCACAATTTAACCTGACATGCTGAAGGGGATAAACACTCATCATTCTTCAGCCAGGAGTCGTTTGTCATGAGGAAGTGCCTCATTTTCAACCAAATTATCCATGTAGAACAAGGGGTTTTCATAAGAACGTGTTCATTTTGAATAAAGACCACAGTACACATCATAACCATCCATCCACCCCTCTTCTGTAACCACTTATCCTCCTCGGGGTTATGGGGGGTCCGGAGCCCATCACGCAGACCATGGGCGCAAGGCAGGGAACAACCCAGGATGGGGCACCAACCCCGAGCAGGTAACACTCACACACCATTCACTCACACACCATTCACTCACACACCATTCACTCACACACCATTCACTCACACACCATTCACTCACACACCATTCACTCACACATGCACACCTATGAGCAATTAGGTAACTCCACCAAGCCTCAGCATGTTTTTGGACTGTGGAGGGGGCTCCGGCCCCCCAGGACTGCAGTTTGACACCTGTGTTGTGGAGCCTCAATGGGTGTAACACAAATGCTGCAGCCCCAATCCTTCAGCACACAGGACCCATTATGGCACACCACCGCAGAAGTTCTTCTTTAGCCATCCAGCACAAACCGAGGCAAGTTACAAATGCACAGACATACAGGTCGATTCCTTAGTGCTCTTCCGTGAAAAGTAAAATAATGCTGACTCCTCCCGATAAAGAAAAAAAACAAAATACCCCCTATCGCTGCAGCATACCATTTTCCCAGAATCCCTTTCTCCTCCTCCCATGGATGCACACGTTCCTGCTGCCTTGCAATAAAGAGGAACACTTGTTGTGTACTTACAGAAAAACACTTTAAACGGTTTTCCTTTTTTTAATATTCAGTCAGGCAATTTCACACAAGCTGCGTGGTAAGAGGTCCATTTAAAACGGGTAACTGACAACAAGAAAAGGCCATAAATGAGAAAAAAAAACCCTTTAAAAGCAAACGGTAGCCACCCGCATGGGGAGGCGAGTGGCTCATTCTGCAGTTCCCGACCGCGGTATATTCCATAAGTATGGCCCCAGGGGTCCCCACTGTCCCCAACCCCCACGACAGCTGTAAATACATGGGCCATTAGCAGCACGCCGATCACCTCCTGGGTGGTGGCCTCTGCTCCTGAGTGTCGGTTGAGTGTAGGGCAGGAAACTCGCAGAGCTGCTGTGCTGTGCTATGATCAGGGGAACAATGATGCAAAGGGACAGCAGAGAGCGACGCCCCAAAAATTCTCCGCTAACCACTTCTTATGCAATGATGTCCAGACACGCTTGCTGTTAATTATACCAGCAGCCTAAAAGACACCAGTTAGGTCATTTGGTCGGTCCTGTGTGAACTAACTGAATGAACTGTTTAAATGTCACTTTCTGTCCTTATATTGCAACGTGGTCCCAGGGGGTACCTGACCTTGGGTCACTGTATTTCTACATTTGGATGATATGATGATAAAGCAATCCTGACATGACAACAGGCACTAATGTTCCACATCTTGCTCTTAAATGTTTTGGGAAGTTCAACCAAGCTTGATAAATCAGACTAAATGCAAGAACATGCACATAGGCTGAAAGCATCAGCATTCATTTTTACTATTCTAGGTGAACTCAGTAAATGAAGTAGTCTAAATCAGTGCTTCCCAACCCAGTCCTCAGGGAACCCCGGACAGTCCACGTTTTTGCTTCCTCTCAGCTCCCAGCGCACCTGTACCAGGTATTCGATGTTCCTGATTGGCTGGGAGCTGAATTTTATGCCAGGGAATTAGAAAAACAATGCATTTGAAAAGGGAAAACCAGGAGCTGCATGGAGCGTGTGCCAACGTACATCCGGCGTCCCGCGTGAGACTGAAGCTCGCGGGGTTCCGGCCACAGACTCATTAGCCTCCTCCTGCCCCACTGATGTCACCCCAAACCAAAGCCCAGTGACGTGAACTTTCACTGACCCGACCGACGCCATAGTTTTCATTTTTATTTCTCTCCCATGCTAATTTACTCACAATATTAAATATGTCACCAAGACACGTGTGATACGTATTACAGCTTCTAGAAAATACACACACGTATTCATGCACGCATGTGACCATTCCCACCTCTTTAATCCACCTATAGCCTCTAGTGTGAATTGATAAAGAACATTACAGGTCACATGACCAGGCTCCCGCAATGCACGGGGTCTCCCGGCAACGCAGAGCGTGAGGAAGCAGGCGGGACACTTACTTCCAGTAAAGGCTATCCAGCGGGCGTACTTGGTGGCCTCGCGTCGCCAGTGGGAGGCCACCAGCAGGCCGCAGGTGACGGTGAGGGAGACGATGCCCATGATGATGAAGAAGAGCGTGGTGACCCACTCGGGGGGCAGCCGCGGCGGGATGCAGGTCCTGTCGCGCCCATGGATGGTCTGGCACTGGCGCACCAGCCCCACCGTGAGAGCCCCTGTGGGAAAGCCAGAGCCTGAGCTGCCCATCCTCCACAGCAGAAAGCTGGTGTCACCTTTCATCTTCAAAGCCAGCCATTCTGAAAGGAGGCTTTACCCCCCAACAATGATTGCTTTTCCCCTTTTAAGACAGAATCTCAAGATATAAACCCAGATCATCATTTGTATTCCAGCTGCCTGAAATTATACCTCCAAACTTGACACAGCTCTAGCATAGTTATACTCTATCTAGAGAGCAGCAGTGTTTGCCCATTAGTAATACAACACAATAAACACTGAGACCAACATCCTGCATTGTTCCAGACATTCCCGTGCCACTCCCAGAGATTGTTTCTGGTTATAGCGCTCTCAAAATATGTGATAATGGCAGATAGACAAGTGGATAACAACGAAGTCCAGAAATCATAGAGATCTGATGTTGATCTTTACCATAGAATGCCACATTTCCTAAGAATTTCTCAGACACAACCGATACAAGGGAGGAGCAGCAAGACTCAAACCGCCTTGAAGACCAGAGAGATGGAGTAATTTCCTGAAGCAAAGCGGTGAACTTCTGAGGAGAATGGCAAGACAGTATCTAGGGAAAAGGGTCTGGAGACTCAGACACACACACACAGGCACACACACACACAGTCACACACACACACTAAAATACAAAGCTTCAAACGAATGACTCACTAAACCTCCTGCTTTCATTCTCCAGACTGGTGAGTCCAATTACGGCAGGAGAAGCTGCTCTGGTAAACAAAACAGCTGTCACCCCCTCAGCCACCCCTCTTTAAAAGGCTGCTCTTTACGCATTCGCTTTTGCAGACGCCTTCAGCGCCACTCCCTGACACCCAGAAATGTCACCGATAACAAGGGTTGCATAACGGAACACTCAAAACAATGAACAATATGGGCCAATCACTACCAGGGTGACATGCCATATCCTTGGTGTATAAGAGCCTTTTTTAAGGTCACACACACACACACACACACACACACACACACACACACACACACACGAGGTATCTATATCTTTGTGGGGACCCTTCAATCTTTTATAACCCTAACGCCAGTAATGACAACCTTAACCCCAAGTAACTAAACAAAATAAAAGACTTTTGATTTCACTCACAGATTTTTATAAAATTGAGTTTCCCCTTGTGGGGACCGAAAAAATACAATTCAGTTGACCAAGCAGCGGGCTACTGGCATGGAGTCTTTTTCGGAGAGGAGTTTCAGTGCTTTCCGAGGTAACGCTATTTGAAAGGTAATGCTGACAGGCTTTCCTCTGTTCTAACCACATTCCTCTTTTTCCCTTTGGGTGTCACATGACTTCACATCTTTTTTTCATTGGTTCCTCTTAAATCCGCTCTCTGGCTGTACCGTGCCTCTGGATACCAATAGTTTAGTATCAAACTGGGAGCTGCAACAAAATTCATCTTGTTAATTAAAGCAGCAAATCACCTTCAGCAGGTTATGTATAGCAACAAAGGAAGCACTTCTGCTTGGGAGAGGTTTCCAAGTTTTAGTGCTTCTTAGAGATTTCTTCTGTTTGTTTAATGTCTGTCCAATAAAAAATACTGTGTTAACATACAACCACTGTGAAAAATGCTACAGAAACTCATTCTAGAAGATACTTTTTACGGTTTGACTCGCCGATGAGAAGATTATCAGACGTATCCACAAAAGGTACAACATTTAATTTTTTTTTTTTTAATACGGAGAATCTCTGTACAAGTATCTCTGCAAGGTAACTCTAGTAGGGCTGAGTAATTAATCGAAAATGAAACAAAATCGGCATTCAGAATCTCTAATCAACATAATCTTGCCCATGTACATTTCCTTTTCTTTATAATTCTGTTAATATTTAAAAACCCCAGTGTCTTCATGTACTGTCTCCTTAAAAACATACTACTGCGTGTGTTGTCACGTGACTCCGCCCCACCCAGTCTGCGACTTGGAAGCAACACGGGGGCAAACTCAAACACCGAGTGGACTGAGCAATTCAAGCAGCTTATACCAAAGGAAAATGCCATGTCCGTCATTTGGACGCATTGTGGCTTTATTGAAGACGACACCGAACAAAAAGTCGTCAAATGAAAACACTACGGAAAAAGAGTTTCAGCTACCAAAGGTAATACCACCAATCGTTTCAACCCTAGCAATATTTAAAATACAGTGGAAACCACTTATAGTGATCATGTTTATAGCAGGGCTGCCAACTTTGGTCAGCTTGCTGGCGTGAGATTTTCAAATCTGCACACACGTGTATGGAACAGTTTTATTACCTTGTAGTCTGTAGGGTTTGCAAAGTACGCCAACGCTTTTGATGTAGGTAATTATAGGATTATAATGGATTTATATAGATTTGTCGTAAGATTTCTTGCCGGGCACCACGTTCCCTGGGTCTTGCTAGCTGCCACATTTCTTATGTCGCCATCTTCCAGGTCACCATGTTTGTTCATGTTTTCCTACATTTTCTATTCAGTATGCAGGCCCAGGTAAGGGGAGGATGGCTGCTACTCAGGACATGGTCAAATGGGGTCAATAACGCCTAGCCTGTGGCCATCGGTGGGATCCCCAATGACAACTGCTGAGCCAGCAGATGCACTTCTATCTAATGAGGGCACCTGGTGAGGCAGGGCATTCAGGATGCAGGCACGCTGCCTTTCAGTGGCCAGTTGGATCTAATGGTGACCTGGAAGCACAGAACCAGGCCGAAAAGTGGGAAAAGGACGGACCTCACACCTCTGGGCCCCGAAAGCCTGCAGATGGCAGTTTCCACCAGGGTGGGGGACTACAGAGTGTATTCATTCATTGGGAAGGAAACTGTAATGGCTTCCAGGTGCATGAAAAAGTCATGTGCCGCAACATCTGTGCAGTGTCCTCTGTCTAAACTGTTTAAGTAGAAACACTCAATGCACTTAAGGCTTGTGCAATTATTATGCCATGAAAACTTGAGAAATGTTCATATCATGCCACAATGTAAAGGTTAATTATGGGAAAAGATCAATGCTCAACATTTTTATAGATCATGGAAGTTGGTGTACCTGTTGCAAAGATGAGGATGATATGGTTCATAACAAGCAGCAGTGACATCAGAAAGTCTTAAATGGATTTCGTTAGACAGACTTTCATCCTTTAACACGATACTGGCTGATGGAAAACAAAACAGCAAGATAAGCTCTTGGTCCTACTTCATGGTTCTTCTCTGTCTGTCTTGGGGGAGGTGCCCTGTGTTTCCGGATATAGGACATAAAAGGCTGGGAGTGTGGATTTCTAGTCCTTGAGGGGCCTCTCCGGGTTTCTCAGGTGTAAATGTCATCACTAACTCAAAGAGACTGCAGATGTCAAAGTCTGGAGCACCAGCACCTCCTGAGAAGAGGCAGAAAGAACCTGGCGCGCTACTGCTCATTACACCGGCATCTGGACAGGAGCCCTGCACAGGCAAGCGGCAGCCGGCACGTACGACACGTCGGGCGGAGTCCGCCGTTTCGGGTTTCAGCGGCGCGGGCCGAGGCGAGAGACGTCAGGAGGCTCCGAACGAACGGCAGCAGCTTCAGTGGCATCTCGACACCCGGGCGTGAAGCAGCAGCTGAGTCAGTGCGCTTGGGGTTCCCACAACAACAAACAGGACAGGACGTGTGGTGAGGTGCGGTCAGGGTGCCCAACTGTGGGCCTCTAAGCAAAACCACACGATGCTCATCATAAAGAATCAAGTCGGCCCGTCTCTTAAAACACAGGAAGCCCTGCATCCGCGGGTACAAAATAGGCCTCGCTTTTAATGGCCTTACAAAGGTACAACCGAAATGCTTCCGTGAACTTTCTGTTCCTCTACACCTTTGTAGAGTCCATTAAAAGCCGCTCGCCATCTGTTCTGTGTGATAGATGCCTGTGGAAGGGCCAGGGCATGTTGACTGAATGAGAGGGGNTTTTATAAACATTTCCTCAACAGAAGTCAGACTCCCGCTGCTTGTAACCTCGCGGCAGCATTCCTGTGTTACTACCAGAAGACACGCTAGCCACACGCTCCCGCAGACACCGTGAGCGGAGGCATCCTCGCACAAAGAGAGTTCACCATCCCGCTTCGAAATGCTCCATTTCCATACAATGCTGAAGAGCCAGAGCAGGACTGGATCGACACAAACTGCCTACGCCGATTCCAAAGCGCCTCAACGCAGGATCCTCAAAGAATCCCCAAACAGATCATGCTGATCATGTTTAACGTGAGCTCGTCCCTAATTTATTGCTAGCAAGTCAGTGTAATGACCTTTAAAGGCCCGAGATAAACAAGGAGATCCTGTGTTTCATTTGCCTTTGTGTGGTTCAATAATGACAAACACATGCAATGCAAAATCGTAGCAAGCAATGCCTTACAAGTCAGTCATGGTTTCCTTTAGACCATAAAACAGACCAAATATATTTTTCAACAAACGACACAGGCTAACACTGTGGTCTCACACCTCTGGGGCTGAAGGTTTGACTCCCAGCCCTGGCTCCGTTCGCATCTTCTCCCACTATCTGGGATTCTGCTGGGTACTCTGGTTTCTACCCGTCTTCCAACAACATTCAGTCAGGCGAATCTGTATCTCTGAAATGCCAGGGTGTGCATGAGTGAATGTGTGCTAATGTACTAGCATGCTGTCCAATGAATCCCCTGCCTTGTGTCCAGTAGTCTAGTACTCCAGACTCACCGGAACCCTGTACTGCCCAAGCAGGTATGGAAGATTAATGGAAAAACAACAACGCAACAAATAATCAATATATTAAAAGAAAGAAGCATCTCAGTGAAGATCTTGACTCAGATGACTGCTGTTTCTTATCGATGAAAGGACTCTATTCAAGTGTCTTGAGAGCTCATGAAGAGAACACGAACTCCTAAAATGCTTAAAAAAAAAATAAGGGGTCAGATGCACCTTTCTTGGTTTACAGACAGTGAAACTAGATCTCCGAGGTCTGACGTGCATTTAGCTGGCCTACAGCCAGACCATCTCCGAAGACATCTGGTCAC